GAGCGACAGAGATTCGGTTAAATATGTAATAAACTATCAGAAAAAATATGGGCAGGGTGGTGATGATATGACACTTGTAACTCCATGGGGGCCTTTGACTTGTGGCATTAACACAATGTTAATTGTAATTGGATATGGAAGGGATTCCACTCTTTCGGCTGATTGTGTTGACAACGCAACATTGTTTTGTGCCATCTGCCTCAGAGAAGTTTGCATAAATTAACATTAGAAGATGCTGTGAACCAGGGCCGAAAGAGTTTTTCAGTCTAATAAATTATATACACATTGTTCTTATTCCTGCACTGATTGCTCGTACGGGAACCCCGACTGATTTGAATTATCACTTGCATGCACAGTGTGATGCTAAATGCAACTTGCTCCATGTCAGAGTCCCCATCGATCAAATGATCAGGGAGCATTTCTCTTATCCAAACAAATATCCGAAGGAACTTTCTTCCTTTTCCTTTCCGCTATTAATAATCTCTTTATTTATGTAATGAACCACTCCACTATCATAACCACCCACTATAAATAACACACCGTGTAATCACAAACACCACCGAGAGGAATTACATAGTCCAAGTAGAAAAATGGATAGAGTAAGAGACTTGGCGTCAAAGAAGGCAGCAGTTATATTCACCAAGAGTTCGTGTTACATGTGCCACAGCATCACGCAACTCTTCTATGAGCTCGGAGCAAGCCCTGCGCTGCATGAGCTCGACAAGGATGCTTATGGGAGGGAAATGGAGTGGGCTTTGAGGAGCATGGGGTGTAACCCTTCGGTGCCTGCAGTCTTCATTGGTGGCAAATTTGTAGGCTCATCCAAGGATGTCATATCCCTCCATGTTGATGGTTCCCTCAAACAAATGCTTATGGCTGCCAAGGCCATATGGTTTTAGTCTCAACTCTCCAATAAAACTCACAAGCTCCGTAAGACATATCAAGGAGCTCTTATACAATGTTTTATGTCAGGGACACCCCTTCTTTTTCCTGAGTGTCCTCTTTTAGCTAGTATCAAAGAGGAAGTCTGTAAAAAAACATTTAGTCTGCTTTTTACGTTCTATAAAAGGTTGGATAGCTTAACCACATAGCTATTGCCTACATCTTCATATCATCCTAACTGCTACTTACAATTTCTAAGCTTTATCTTTATTACCACAAGTCGTAGAAGAAAGACATGTTTCAATTACATATATTCCATCGATCAAACCAGCGTAGATCACGTAACCGAATGATATTTGAAGGTTGATTGCCAAAACAACACTTTCTATTTAGGTGGCAGTTCTGCTTTTGTTTCATACTGTCAAGCCTTGTGTTTCACGTCGTGTTATCTGTTCATATCATTTAATTTGCTTTGTATAATTACACCCTAATGACTGGTCTCTTGATTTGATATTGAGTTTTAAATTAAAGCTGGTTTCCCGCTTTACACATTTTAATTTTAGTGTTGTTATTTTAATTATTTAAGTTTTACTATTGAATAATCAAAAGACTTGTTACTTTTTAATTCAAACGTTTCGGTGGAGGGGAGAAGCTGAAGGAGATGCAAGGGGACAAGAGAGAGGAGGCGACATTGACATTGTTGGGGAACTGGTAGCAATAAAAAGTGATATAAGGACATTGCTTGCAAATGTTGATGGTGATTCTAATATCATCATATTGGGAAGACACTGTTTATAACGATAATAATATAAGGTTGAAAACGTTGTACAAAAAAAAGTCTTTTTGTTTTTTCTTTTAAATAATATTAAATTGGTCACTTTTAACTCTGATCCCTTACAATTGTATACAATGAAAAGACGTAAGGGATTAACTATGTATACAATGAAAGATTTAAGTACGTATATTATATATACAATGAAAAGGCGATCCCTCTATATCTTCCCTTCTCCTTTACAATATAAGTAATGTATATACCTACCATGAAGTGTCTAAAATCCTAGAACCTCTTTCTCGAGTTGTTGGTTCCTCTAGCAATGACAAATTATTTTGTCTCCATAGTAGCACAAAAAGACCCAATTGTTGACGTTGTTCATGTTGGAACTTGAGAATTTGTTGCTCTCGGATAATTAGCCAATTACTACGTGAAGATATGGTGATTAAGAAGTAAATTTTAAATTTAATTTAATTGTAAGATGAGATTTATATTTATTTATATATTATGAAATTGTTTTTATCTCTAGTAAGACTTTCAACAAATACAGCGAAAGCCATGGCGGAGAAAACGGAAAGAAAGAGCAGGGGAACGTGGAGGCGGAGATGGAGGCGGGGCAGCCTAACACCGCCAACAGCGCATCCGGCACCTCCAAAATGCCAGGGGGAACCGAGACAGGGCACCTCCAACGGGTCAAAAAAGGGGAGGGGGAAGAAAAAATAGAGGGGGAGGGGCGGCGGCGCGGAGGAAGACACGGGAAGAAAGACAGGGGGAGGGGGGCCGCGGGCGGAGGAAGGGCCGCGGCACCAGGGGAAGAAGAAGCGAAGGTGAAGGGGAAAAAGGGAAAGAGGAGGGAAGATAAGGGTAGAGGGAAGAAGGAGGAAAAGGAGGAGGGGAGAGAAGAGGGAGAGGCAAGAGAGACAAAATAGCAAAGAACGAAAAGAAAAGGAAGAAGGATGAAAAAGAAAAAATAGTAAAAGACGAAGAACCAAGAAGAGAAAAGGGGCGGAAGGAGAGGCAAAGAGAGGAAAAGGAGGAGAGGAAAAGAGGACAAGAAAGGAAACAGGGGAGGAAAGGGGAGAAAAACAAAAGTGGGGAAAAAACGGAGGGACGGGAGACCGGAAAGAGGGGAAGAGGGGGGGGGAAAAAAGGGACGAAGAGGGAAGGGAAGAAAAAGAAGAAGAGGAGGGAGGAGAGCGGGCGAAGGAAGAGGAGGAAAGAGGAGGGAGAGGGGAGAAGAAGGGGAGTAAAAAAGTAAAAGAAAAGCAACTAAAAGAAATGTGAATAATAAGAAAATAAAAAGAGGAGGGAAAAGCAACAAGAAAAGAGAATGAAAGAGAGGAGGGAGAGGAAAAGGGAAGGGAAGGAAAGAAGGAAGGAAAAGGGAAAGAGAAAAGAAGGGAAAAGGGCGGAAGCGGATGAGAGAAAGCGAGAACGGAGGAAGCGGATAGGGGAGGCGAGAGGGGGCAAAAGGTGGGGGGGGAAGGAAGGGTAAAGAAGGAGAAGGTAATGAAGAAGGGAAGAGAAGGGAACAGAGGGAAAAGAGAGGGAAGGGAGGGGAAAGAGTAGGGAGGGAGGGGGAGGAGGAGGGGGAGAAGGGGAAGAAACGAGGAGAAAAAGAAGAGGAGAGTGTAAAGAAAAAAACATCCCAATAAATAAGTTTTAAAAAATTTTGTTTTTATTTAAAATTTCATAAATATTTAATTTATGTAATATTTAATATAATTTAATAATTTGAAATATTAAAGCAAAATTATTTATTGTTATTGTATTTATTTTTTATTTATTCCATTATAATTTTATCTTTGTTTTGATTTATATTTTAATATAACTATTATTATGATATAAATCATATTTTAATAATTATTAAAATATAAAATTATATTAAATAATATTTAAATTTTAATTAAATTAGATTATTATTAAAATAGTGCAGAGGAACTTTAATAAGAAAGAGAAAAAAATAAAAATGTATTTATTAAAGTGTTTTTAATAAGAGAGAAAAGAAAATAAAAATATATTTATTAAAAAATAAAATTTTTTAATTTTTTGGAACAGTTAGAGGTGCATATGTCAGAGGTTTAAAAATGGAATTTTGGAGGTGCAGGATGAGATGTGGAGGGTAGGATTGAAAAAACACTCTTCTGAGATTGGGAGAGAAAAAAAAAAAAAACTTGAACCCTAAATTAAAAAACCGGGGAAAAAGAGGCCCATTAAGCCAAGAACACGTTACAGGATACATCCAATGTACTTAATATGAAGTTAAATTTACGTATATACTGAAAATATACTGTTATAAAATAACTAAAATGAAGAACCAAAACTGATAAACGGATATTTTTAATGATTTAAACTGATAATAATTCCAACTTAATAATTGAACTAGAAAAAATAATTCAGAGAGAGCAATCATAAGTAACAGTGATGATTATAAAATATAAAAATGATCGTGTTAGTAACAATAATAATAATAGTTATGGCATTATGCCTTTAAAAGATTAAAAAAAATTGAACTTGTTTTTTTTAAGCTAAAATTATTTATTTTGTTTAAAACTTAAGGCCAAAGTTTTTCTTAAGATTAATTAAAAGTTGTTATAGTATAATATAATTAAATGATTACTGTTACTTTTAATATTTTGTATTGTTTTTATTTTTATATTCACCGAGGGAATATTTTATTTTTTAAAGTCCTTACTTCTTGCTTCAAAGGAAATGTTTTTTTTTGTATTGTTTTATTTAATGGATATTTCGTTTCAACTCAAATGTAACAATACATTGCTTATCACAGGAAACAGATAACAGGGAACAAAAAACCCTGAGACAACAGTGTTTCAGCCCGTGTAAACTACGCAAAACTTTATTGAAGATACAAAGGTATTTATATACAAAAACAGGAAAAACAGAAACATCTAACAAAAGCTTAATTTTGGTTTGACAAACTAACAATTTCTTACTGAAAGTTAAAGTCTGACCTTCTTAAAAAAATCTAATACCAACTATATTCTATTTTATTGTTTCACGAAAAAAAAAATACATATCTACATGTAGGAGGCTTGGTTTTTTATATAACGTTAATAATAGGTTTAAACTGAACTATGATCAGTTTAGATATGTTTTTATACTTGAGAAATATAGATAAAACTTTATTTTATTTTTAAGATTCTTAATTATTAGTTTTATTTTACAAGTCATAGATTTTAAATATTACTTCACAATATTGTGACTACATCATATTACAATGATCATTTTAAAGTTATATGCGGCATTATATATGTCTAAATGCACATCCTTTATTAAAATATAAAAAAAATATTAATTTATAAAAACCAAAAATTGACGAAAACAAACTCAAGGGACTAACGATCAAAATTAATTAAATTTACTGACACAAAAAAATGTTATCCCGTAAATTAAATAGATCCCACATTGGAAAAATATCCTAACAAATTTCATTATATATATATATATATATATAATTATATATATATATATATATATATATATAATAAAAAAATATTAACTTGGCTTTTAAATAATAGTGTTTATTAAAATATAATTTTATTAAGTTGATTACTCTGATTTTAACACAATGTAAGTTAATTTTTTTTAAAAGTTAAGAAAAATAAAAATAAAAATAAATTTAAATTTAATTTTATATTATTTAAAATATATACATTGATTAAGTTAATGTTTGTAACAAGAAGAATAAAGTTGGCTTAGCTAAGTCAACACTAACCTTTTAATAAAATAAAGAATTTTATTAGTGTTATCTTAACTTAACCCACGTATTCTTAAACATTAATAAAATTGATTTAGCCAACTCTAAATTGATATTAACTATTTTTATTTTTTATAAGTAAAAATATAATATATATATATATAATGTCCTTGCTCTTTGTTGATTTTGCTAAGTCTTATGATAAAATGTATAATTTCATCAATGTTATAAATTTATTTCATTTGAAGTGAAGACATGACTACTTGTATACATACCACTATAATAAATTATGTTTGAAAATAATTAATTAAATATGTGTAAGGTATTAAATTCACTAAAGATAGTTATTATTTTACTAAAAATAATTCATTATCTTAAAGAATAATATATTTTTCCAGTCAAAATAATCGATTATATCTAAAACAATCCATTATCTACACAACTTTAACTCACAGATAAGTTTCAGAAGCCCAAAATAATTAATTACCTGCAAAAATAATTAATTATTTTGCAGTAATATTTTTATAAAATGATTTATAAAGCATATCTTATCATAACATCCAACATTTCGTACCATAATAACATTATCCAAATTTCAACTACAAATATACACGATTTCATATTACAACTAATTAGCACGTGATATAATGAAGCTCACCTACCTAAAAGAACAGAGAAACTCCTCCACACGTTTTCTTACCCAAGATGGTTTGAAAAATTAAACAATTGGTTGCACAAAATTGTTCCTTCTCAGCCACTCACTGTTTGATTCTACATACGACTTCAGATAACAAACTTTTCATCTATAATAATGAGCAACAACTAGGCATAAGGTTCCTAAATAACCGGAGAAAAGGATCTAATTAAAATTGGTTAAATTAAATTTAGACCAAAAGAATATATTATATATACTAAAAGAGGTAAATCTAAGGTAATTTAGTCAAGAAATTGGTCTAATTGAGCTGCACATAATCTAAGTGTAATTTTATGTAATATAAATGATACGTGAACAACTTTTTTTTTAATAACAGACACATGTTACCGCTTTATTGGTTTATTTGAATTTATTTTTAAAAAGTTATTTGAAACGGACGAATCACAAATTAACATATGTTGTAAAAAAAGTTATCAAAAATATAAATTTCACACTAGCATGGTGTGTGGGTAAAATAATTATCACAAATAAAATATAATAAGATTATGCGCACTACACAGATAAAAACACTACACAATAATCACAAAAATAATATAGACTATCACTAACATAAGAATTAATATTTATTTAATTATTAAGTTAAGTTGTCTACGAAATTACATATTTAATCAATAATAAAAGTTTAACCTCAGTATCACTATATGAACTCATTTTTTATTGATATACATGATTAAGTTATTCATGTTTGATTTTATTTAAAAGGTAGACAATTAATTTGGTTCAAGCTATCAGTTTAATCTTTGGAAGAAAAATATATTTAAATTTATCTCTGATTGTTGAAAAGTTATGCAATTACGTCGTATTATTAAGTTTTGTGAAATTATTTCATTATTAAAATAATATTCTTAAAGACTAATTTCACAATTAGGGATTATTTTGGTTTTAAGCTATATTAAAGACTTATTTTGATTTTTTTTTTATATATTCAAACTCCAACCTTAATACGAAGAACAAAAAAAATCTCATGAAATAGCATTATGGTTAGTTGTGGTCAAAAGAAATAGCCTTTAAAGAAGTAAATTAGAATTTGAATTCTATGTTATTCTTTTGTCTTATGCTAATATTATTTCTTTCCATCTTTGAATATATTTTTCAGATCTTACGTAAGAAAGTTTCTTTTTTCTGATTTTCATTTTAGTTATAGGCTAAGTGATTGAAATTAACGTCTATATTCGTGAGTTGTGTTCCACAAGGATTTCGTTTTTATTCAGCAGTGTCCTACACGTATTATTCTCTGCATCTACTTTTTTAAATATCCACTTTTTATTTTATCTGGGGGAGGGAGTTGAATTCACAATTTTTTTTTAAATTTTTCTTTCAAACTAATTAAACTAATCTAACTAATCTTATAACGCTCCAATATCAGACAGTTGAAGATTGAATCTAGATTTTTCTCTTATTGTGCATTTGAATATTGTTCATTACATTGACCGAAACTAACCATTTGCACTGAATTGTAATAACATTGATTGCAACATTTTTTAAATCAGATATTGTCTCTTTCTCACTGAATTTAAGTATTTGAAGCAGACAGCAATTGACACAACAGTGTGGTGAAGGAAAACACAAACCTCGGAGCAAGAAATGGAGGAGAGGATAAACTATGTGGCTCACTGTCTTGTTCTACCTTATCCTGCACAAGGACACATAAATCCTATGCTTGAGTTTTCAAAACGTTTGATTCAGAGAGGAGTGAAGGTCACACTGGTAACTGTTGTGTCCAACTGGAAGGTCGTTAGCAGAAAAAATTTCACTTCTATAGAAGTTGAGAGCATATCAGATGGCTACGATGAAGGAGGCCTTGCAGCAGCAGAGAGCCTTGAGGTTTATCTTGAAACCTTCTGCAGGGTTGGAGCACAAACTCTCGCTGAGCTTCTTCAGAAGCTTGCAGGATCAAGCCACCCTCCAGATTGTGTAATCTATGATGGTTTCATGCTTTGGGCTCTTGATGTTGCAAAGAAATTTGGGCTACTTGCTGCTGCTTTCTTCACTCAGAGTTGCACAACAAACACCATATACTTGCATACTTATAACAAGTTGCTGGAACTGCCTCTTACACAGACAGAGTATTTGTTGCCAGGGTTGCCAAAACTTGAAGCTGAGGACTTGCCATCATTCTTGAACAGATATGGAACCTATCCAGGTTATTTTTATGTTGTTGTGAACCAACTTTCCAATATTGACAAAGCAGATTGGGTTCTTGCAAACACATTTTATGATATGGAGCGAGAGGTAAGTGAGTTCACTAGCTGAAAATTCTGTTCATTTAT